GGGACAGGAGGACACACTGGAGGTGATGACGTGAGGGTGGGGGGCAGGGGGACACACTGTGGACGTGAGGGTGCAGGACAGGAGGACACAGCAGTTACTGGGAAGACACAGGTCTTGGGGTGCACGAGCACCTAAAGGGGATACTGGATTCTGAGGACACTGAGTCCTAAGGAAGTTCAGAAGCAAAGGGGGGACCCCCATCGGTGCCCATGGGGGATGGTCCTGGGGACACACTGTTCTTAACGGGAGATCCTAGGGGACATGGGGACCCAGGAGATCACAAGGTCATTGGGAACCGTGGGGCCAGGGGCATGGAGTTCAGGGAGGATCTGTTTTTGCCCTCCCTGGCACACCGATGACCAGGTTCCCTCTTGAGGGTGACACCTCAACATTTACAAGCCTCCCCATCACTTCTGTCTCTGTACCGTGGAGCTCTGTGGTATAATGATCACCGACATTTCAGATACCAGCAGGGTCAGACAAGCTTCTGCAGTTTCCAAACTCAGCTAGACCAGAAAGAAGTGCAGGCACGATATTTTGGAAATCACAGAGCAACAGTAGAGCCCTGTCCAGAAGACAGGTCCTCAGGCCACATGACCTTGGGACAGGATTGGGAAGAGATGCTTCCTCAGAGCAGAGGTGACCTCAATGACATGGACAGAGCAAGGCTGGAGACCAAGGAAAAGGGCTTCATTTGCCAATGTGGCAGGAAGGGACACCACTGCAAACAGCCATTGACAATTGAAAGGTAGAGTGTACACACATGAATCGGAAAACTGGAAGATGTCAAAAACAAAAGATCAACGTCGTAAGACTCAGGAGCCGAGATGAAGTTGGCCACTTTACATTAACCACACGGTCAACGCTTGGAATAGCAAACTCAAAAGGGCATCACATTCATAATCAAAAAGACCATTTCAAGATGTACCCCGAGCTCCAGGACTATCAGGATGACGTACAGGAGCGCCTGCGGCAGTGCATGCAGCAGGTTATCACGACAGTCCTATCATTTGGATTTACACACTAGCCACTAATGTAAAAGATGAAGAAACTCACATTTTTACCAAAAATTGCAGTCTGAAATTGAGCAAGTGTGTAGTCAAGAGGGGGCTCTGGAGGCCTAGTGGTAGGGAGCTGTGCTGCAATCCCAAAGGCACACGGTTTAAATCCACCAGCTACTCTGTGGAAGTAGGATGGGCAACCTCCTCCCATGTGATTAACTGCCTCTGAAAACCCACTGGAGGGTCAGCTATAGGTCACTTCCAACTCAATGGCACATAACATCATACCCTCAAGATGCACTGAGGATTACTGATAAATGGAATGCAAAAGTTCAAAAGAAAGAGGAATCAGTTGTTAGAAAATCAGTCCTTGGTGATAGGAGTGTGAGCAATCACGGACGACCACTATCAATGCCTTTTTTAAGAAACATAAATAACAGCATGTGGGCCCTACTCAATTAAGACTCAGAAATCAGACTACATCTACCAAAAAAAGGGCTTCAGTTTGAACTTGTACGTGAGTAACTGATGGCCTCTTCCAGTCGGCACCTGGTCTAGTTTTGGCTACCGATACTGAGCTTCTCCAATGATTCTTTCACAGGTTATTTCCTGTGCAGGCCATCAGGTGAAGTCCATGTGTATAGTGACTATTCTGTTTCTTGAAAAAAGTCTTTGCCATGAATAAATCATTTACTGTACAAAATTCAATCATTCGATCTCCAGCCTCAATTCTGTCACCAAGTCTATTATTTTCTGATTACCAGTTCTTCTAAATGTTTCCAAATTTTACATTCTAGTCACCAATATTATTAATGCATCTTGGTTGCATATTTGACAAATTTTAGATTGCAAAAGTTGATTGTTGTTGTTATGTGCCTTCAAGTCACCTGTGACTCATAGTGACCCAACATACAACAGGTCTGAAGCCTGCCCAGTCCAGAGCCAGTCTCACTGACTTTGACACATCTACATCCCCCCCTACCACCAATATCCCAGTTACTCTATCAATCCATCTCAACTGGGGTCTTCCTATCCTGCTCTATCCCTCCACCTTCCAAGCATTATGTCCCCAAGGACCAGTCCCTCCTGGCCACATCCCCAAAGTGTGTGATAAAGAGCTTCAAAATCCTCACCTCCAGGGAGAAACTTGGTTTCACCCTCTCCAAAATAGACCAGTTTGTTCTCTTGGCAGCTCAAGACTCTTCTCCAACACACAACTCAAAGGTATCAATTCTTCTCCTTAGTCATCCTTAGTCATTGTCCAGCTCTCTGATACACAGCAAAAGTTGGTGGAAACCCTGAATTTCTTTCTCTGTGGTTTTACTTGTTGGTACATATAGCTGAACAATAGATGTATTCACAGGTCTTCCTGGTAAGTATATGGAGAGCATCGTATCACTCACAGCATTGTACTTCAGTATGGAGCCTGAAATGGTCTTTTTTACTATAAATGCAACAACATCCTTCCTCAATTTTTCATTCCCATCATAGTAGTTGATATGATTTTCTGGTTCAAAGTGACCAAAGCTAGTTGACCTCAGCTCACTAATGCCGAGAATGTCAATCTTTCCTAATTTCCTAGATTCATAGTTTACACATTGTTGTTGTTGTTGTTATGTGCCATCGAGTCACCTGTGACTCATAGCGACCCTATGTACAACAGCCCTAAACCCTGCTCTATCCTGTGCCAATCTCACTGTCTCTGACACACCTACCCCAATTACCCAAGTCACTGAATCAATCCACCTCATAGAGGGTTTTCTTTTCCTGTGCTGTCCCTCCACCCTCCCTAGCATGACATCCTTCTCCAAGGATTGGTCCCCTTCTTGCAGCATGTCCAAAGTATGTCAGACGAAGCTTCAGAATCTTTGCCTCCAAGTAGCAGCCCAGTTTAACCCTCTCCGGAATGAACCTGTTTGTTTTCTTAGCAATCCATGGTAAATTCAATACTCTTCTCCAGCACCACAGCTCAAAGGCATCAATTCTCCTTCTATCTTCCCTAGCCACTGTCCAACTCTTTGATGCATAGCAAATTATTGCAAATACCATGGCCTGTACCAGGTGCATTTTAGTCTCCAGAGAGACACCATTGCTCTTAGTACTTTGGATAGGTCCCTAACAGCAGACTTTGCGTCGCAACATGTCTTTTAATTTCCTGGCTAATGGTGCCAAGAGTGTTAACCATGGAGCCAAGCCGACTAAAGCTGTTAACAATCTCAATCTCTTCACCATCCATCATGATACTGCCAATTGGCTCAGTGGTGAGAATCTTTGTCTTCTTGATATTGAGCCTCAATCCATATTGAAGGCTTCAGTCCTTGACCTTATGCAGCAAGCGCTTCAGGTCCTCCTCAGTTCATCAAGCAGGGTTGTATCATCTACATACCACAGACTGTTGATAAAATTTCCATCAACCCTGATGCCACACTTCTCATAGAGCCCAGCCTCCCAGATAATCTGTTCTGCATAAAGATTGAAAAGGTATGGAGATAGAACACATCCCTGGCATACACCCTTCCCAATTTTGAACCATGCAGTGTTTCCTTGCTCCATTCTGATGACTGCCTTCACACTAGCACAATCAAGTATTCTGGGATTCCCATTCTTCTCAGAGTCAGCCACAGTTTGTTATGATCCACATAGTCAAATGCCTTTGCATAATCAATGAAACACAGATAGACATTCCTCTGATACCCTCTGCTTTCAGCCAAGATCCATCTAACATTAGCTACAATATGGAACGCTTCACGAATTTGCGTATCATCCTTGCGCAGGGGCCATGCTAATCTTCTCTGTATCGTTCCAATTTTAGTGTATGTGCTGCCGAAGCGAGCACTAACATTAGCTACAATATCCCTAGTACCACAACCCCTTCTAAAGCCAGCCTGCACTTCTGGCAGTTCTCTTTTGACGTGCTGTTCCAGTCGTCTTTGGATAATCTTCAGCAGAACCTCGCTTGCATACCATGTTCCAATTATTTATTAATGGATGTTTACAGCTGTTCCTTCTGAGAACTCTCCCTGCAGTGTATCTAACAGAGTTTCTATATTGTTCACTGAGTTTCAGAGGTAGACAGCAATCCTGCTTTTTAGTATGGCTTAATCTGGAAGTTTCACTGAAACTTGTCCCTCATGGGTGACCCTGCTGACATCTGAAACACCAGTGGCATAGCACTCAGCATCACAGCAACCTGCAAGTTGTTCTAATAGAGCAAAATGATAGGCAAGTGCTGCACTCACAAGAGGAGATGTAAACATGCAACATATACAAACCAAAGCTACAAAGTAAGCAGCAACATGCAAATGGCTCCACCAAGCCAGCAATAAATTGTGGATTGCATCCCAACATCAAGAAAAAAGTCCTTACCCCTGGGCCAATGTTGCTATTGCCGTTGTTAGGTGCCGTCAAGTACAACCTATACCAATCCTTGTTCTTCAG